AAATATTTGCTATAATCAAAATCATAAACCATTGATCCGAAACACAATGAACTGATTAAAACATTCACGAGCAATATTATATTATGTCTTGATGCTTAACATCTTCACAGTAACAGATAACTCTGAGTGATTGGTGCACCCTTTCTATATTGATTGTCGGGCAGCATGCAACAAATCATAAAAATTATGTGCCTTCTTATTCGGTAACTCTTTTATATTTTGTTCATATTATATTCCAGTTGCATCATGAACTAATTCATCAAGATTTGGTCAGATATTTTTAGCCTCAACTACATTAGTACTTATAGAATGACCGTACTGAGAATCAAAATGTGGCTCGTACTCACTATGAGAAGTCCAATATCAATACCGTGGCATGAATCCTTTGCGATACAGATCAACAGTTACATCATCTGGTCTTAGGTGCACTAGATTTTTATGTTTAGAATATGGACATCGAAACATTCCATCTGATATGAAGCTGGGTAGTTGTTTCGCTTCCTGAATGAAAATATTCACCCTATTAATGAATTCATCTATTAATGTCTTTCATCCTTGTGACAATCAGTTGTACATCCAACTTCTTTTATTTCTAATATCCATAACCTACATATAAGAGCAGAAAAATAATGGATTATAATAATTTATATGACATTCCTATATTAATTATCTCTTCTAAGGAAACCGCAAGCTGATTGACAAGTTCAGTTGCAAGCACAGATACAAATGCAGATGTATGAGCAACACAATCAGTTGTTGGATGAAATGAGGGAGCAGTTGAGTGGAAAAGAGGTAACTCTAGCTGAGGATGAGTCCACGAATTAAGAGTATTTTATTTTTTTCAATGTAATATGAACCTGTTTAATTTTTTGAATCTGTGATGTTTTTAATATTAGTTGGTTGATGTTATTAAATAATATGTGTTAATGAACATTTATATTTTTAAGTATTTGTTGAAGTTCTTGAGATCTGTGATGTGTAGATCTGTGTTGTGGAACTATTATTATATGTATTTGTATATATTTGTAAGTGTGGAAATCTGATTGTTGCCTGAGAATGCAAATTTTTTTGTCATTCCTACAGGTTTCTGGCAGATTTAGCGTCGGTAATTTGCCGGAAAGGATGATACAACGAATTTCTGTATCATTTCTGACATTTTTTATCTGTCGACATTACCGGCGGCTAACGCGCCGGTAACAACCCGTAGCTTTAGTTACGGCGTATATTACGATATTTTATCTGCCGGCATTTACGGGTTGGACTACACTGAGACGTTTAGCCTGGTCGCCAAACTACCAACAATAAGAATACTCCTCACGATCGCCCTCTATCATAACTGGCCCGTCCAACAACTCGACGTTGCCAATGCGTTTCTGCACGACCAACTGTCCGAGACCGTGTTCATGGCACAACCAAGAGGATTTGAAGACACAATGTACCCGGATCATGTGTGTCACCTACATAAATCCATTGTTAGAGATAAATTATTTGGAAGAGTGGAAGAGGATAAAAATAAAGGAACTTCTATTATAAAATTTTCTCTCGTACATCCATATGACAAGACTCAATGCCTATTTATATTAGTACAAAGACATTTCTAGAAACACATTCTTGATATTTCTATAATAAAGACTCAACAATCAATCACCAAAAGTTATTACATTTTCTAGATTTTTCTTCGATACAATTTCCTATATACACAAAAAAAATTAAACATTAATTTTGGTTTATATTTCCAACAACTTGGTCATTAATTTTGGTTTATATTTCCAACACCCCCCCTTAAACCAAAATTTTTATCAACCATTCCAAGTAGTATCTTTAATTTTATGAACTGTTCTGCAGCTATGGCTTTGTGAAAATATCTGCAATTTGATCTTTAGATTTCACATACTACATTTGAACTTCTTTATCTTGGATCTGATCTCTTATATAATGAAAACGAACACCAATATGTTTGCTTCTCTTGTGATAACTGGATTTTTTGATAATGCAATTGCTGACTTATTATCAACATAGATTTTTGTAGCTTCGCCTTGAGAATATCCAATCTCTTTCAATAGCTTTCTTAGCCATATTGCATGACATACACATTTTGATGCAGTAACATATTCAACTTCACAAGTAGATAGAGCAACAACTGGTTGTTTTCGTGAGCTCCATGAGAAGGCATTGTCACCCATATAAAATAAAAATCCACTTGTACTTTTTCTATCATCTTGATCTCCAGCCCAATCACTATCTGAATTTCCTGAAAGTTGAAATTCATTAGAATGAGAATATAGAAGTCCATGATTTTGTGTACCTTTAATATATCGAAGAATTCTCTTGGCTGCCTTCAAGTGTGTCTCAGTGGGATTTTCCATGAAGCGGCTAACAATTCCGACTGCATATAAAATGTATGGTCTTGTACTTGTTAGATATAACAGGCTTCCGATCAAACTTTTGAACATAGTTGGATTGACTATCTTCCCTTCTTCTTTCTTTGATAGTTTGATTCCACATTCCATTGGAGTGCTTACTAGATTACAATTCTCCATATTCAATTTCTTTAGAACTTTCTTTGCATATGTTTCTTGTGTGAAAAAAAATTTCTTCTTTATTTTGCTTAACTTCAATTCCAAGAAAAAATGGCATGAGTCCAAAATCTGTCATTTCAAATTTTTTTACCATCGTTTGCTTAAACTCCTTAAATAAAAGTAGATTATTGCCAGTAAAAATAAGATCATCCACATATAAGCAAACAAGTAATATATATATCTCCATTATTATATTTCTTCAGATAAAGAGCATTCTCATAAGGGTATTGGATATAATCATTTTGTTTGAAGTATGAATCGATTCTTGCATTCCATGCTCTGGGAGATTGCTTTAACTGATATAAAGCCTTTTTTAATTTATAAACTTTTGATTCATGCCCTTCTTTAATATATCCCAATGGTTGTTCGAGATAAACTTCTTCTTCAATGACTCCATTTAAAAATGCAGATTTAACATCCATTTGATAAATAGACGAATTATTTTGTGAAGCAAGAGAAATAATTAAGCGAATAGTTTCCATACGAATAACAGGAGCAAATACCTCATTGTAGTCGATGCCTTCTTTCTGCTTGTATCCTTTTACCACTAGCCATGCCTTATACTTTTTTACTTCACCTTTTACATTTTTCTTCACTTTGTATACCCATTTTACACCAACAGCTTCATGTCCTTTTGGTAGTGTTGTGAGCTCCCATGTTGCATTCTTTACTAGAGATTTGATCTCTTCATCCATAGCACTTCTCCATTTTTCATCTTTTATGGCTTCTTCGAATTGTAATGGTTCATTACTTGCAAGCAAGCAAATAAAATGAAGCTCGTCAGTTACCTCATAAAGCTCTCTTAAATTTCTTGTCTTCCTTTACCTTTGATTATCTTCTCAAGTACTTGGAGAATCTTGCAAATTTGTAGACAACTGTTCTTCATATTGTAGTTTCACTGGTACTTGCTCTTCCTTTTGTGTGTCTTTATATTTTGTCAATCCCATGCTCCTTCTTCATCAAACTCAACATCCCTGCTAAAAATGATTTTTGAAGTTTTGTGATCAAATAATTTATAAGATTTAGATTGACACCCGATGAAGATGAGTTTGGAGCTTCTGTCATCCAGCTTAGTCCTTCTTTATTCAGGGACATGTGCATATGCAATGCTCTCAAACACCTTCAAATGAGATATATTTGACTTTCTTCATGTCCATGCTTCTTGTGGTGTCATATCTTGTAAGCTTGAAGTTGAGCACCGATTGAGTGTATAGACAGCACATGTCACCGCCTCGGCCCAAAATTCTTTAGGCATACTCTTGCTTTTGATCATGCTTCATACCATATTAAGAATAATACGATTTTTCCTCTCCGCTACTCCATTTTGTTGGGGTGAAAATGGTGCTGTTAATTTATGTCGAATGCCACGCTCTTCACAATATTCTTTTAATACTTTGGACGTAAATTCACCACCTCGATCTGATCTGATGGATTTTATTAAAAATCCACTTTCTTTTTCTGTACTTGCTTTGAACTTCTTAAACATAATGAAAGCTTCTGATTTCTCTTTCAAAAAATAAACTCATATTTTTCTTGAATAATCATCAATAAAAGTTAAGAAATATCAATGCTTACCAAAAGAGGCTAGAGCAATGGGTCCACATACATCTGTGTGGATTAATTGAAGAGGCTTTTTTGCTCTAAAGTTTGCTTCATTTGAAAAACTCTTTCTTGGTTGTTTTCCAAATACACAACCTTCACAAATTTAATTTGGATGATTGATATTTGGCAAGCCATGCACCATTCCTTTTCTTGACATATTATTTAGATCTCCAAAATTTAAATGCTCAAGCCTCATGTGCCAAAGCCATGATGGATCTTTCACACATGCATGTCTTTAAACATTTCATCACTCAATTTTTTATATTAAGAATAACATTCTATTTCTTGTCATCTCTATTTGGGCAATTAATTCATTTGAATTATTTTTAATTGTGAGCTTTTTATCCTTCATATGAATGTCAAATCCTTTCTCAAGTAATTGCCCCAAGCTTAAAATATTGCTTTTCATATTCGGAACATAATAAACTTCAAAAATAAATTGATGGGTTCCATCTTTAAGAAGAATAAGGATTTTACCTTTTCCTTTTACCAAAATTTTTGAAGAGTCGCCAAAATAAATTTGACTCTCCATCGCTTCAAAACATGTTTTTGTCCCGACACATATGATCACTTGCTCCAGTATCTAAATATCAAAAAAAATTTTTTCATCTTCTTCTCTTTTCAATGCTAATAATAGACTAGATCATCTTCCTTCTCTTTAACAAGATTGGCTTTCTCTTGATTATGATAGCATTCGGAAGCATAATGACCAAATTTCTTGCAAATATAACAACGAACATGAGATTTTTTGTACCTTTGATATTTTGGCTCTTTCTTCCACTCTTCATTTCTTGAGTTTTGATTTTATTCATTATTTCTTTAATATCCTCCACGTCCTCGTCCACGTCCTCGGCCTCTTCCAAATCCACGACCACGACCGCGACCTCGACCACGGCCTTGTCCATAAATGTCTCGATCATTTGAATTATCTTCATTTTTTGTGTCGTCTTTGTCACCTTTCAATGAGAGCTTTGATTGGAGAACTTGTACGATAGTATTTTGTATTTTCTTATTTTTTCTTTGCTCATAAGTCATCAAAGAACCCATTAGTTCATCAACGGTCATTGTCTCTAAATCTTTAGCTTCCTCAATAGCTATGACAATATGCTCAAATTTATCATTTACCGAGCGTAGAATTTTTTCTATCACTCGAATATCTTCTAATGCTTCTCCATACCTTCGTAGTTGATTGACGATGGTCAAGACTCTTGTGAAATAGTCCTCCATATTTTCTGCTTCCTTCATTTGAAGTGCCTCAAATTTGGCCCGAAGAGTTTGAAGTCGAATCTTCTTTATCTTGTATATGCCTTTGTATGCAACTTGAAGTATCTCCCAGGCCTGTTTGGAGATAGATACACTGGCCACTTTCTCAAAGTTTGCCTAATCAAGTGCTTGAAAAATGAAGAAAAGCGTCTTATTATCCTTCTTTCTACTTTCTTTCAACAGTTCCCTTTGGGTTGTTGATAATACTGCTTCTTCTTGATGCTCGACATAGCCTTTCTCGACTATCTCCCAATTATCTTGAGAGCCAAATAGTGCCTTCATTTGAAGACTCTAATTCTCATAGTTCTCCTTTGTGAGACGAGGCACTTGTAGATTCATACTACTTGTCATCGAACTTAGCTCTGATACAACTTTGTTAGAGAGATTATTTGGAAGAGTGGAAGAGGATAAAAACAAAGGAACTTCTGTTATAAAATTTTCTCTCTTACATCCATATGACAAGACTCAATGCCTATTTATACTAGTACAAAGACATTTCTAGAAACACATTCTAGATATTTCTATAATAAAGACTCAACAATCAACCACCAAAAGTTATTACATTTTCTAGATTTTTCTTCCATACAATTTTCTATATACACAAAAAAACTTAAACATTAATTTTGGTTTATATCCATCTACGGGCTAAAACAGGCACCTCGACAATGATATAACACGTTCACTACCTTTCTTGTCTCTCTTGGATTCTCTCACAGTCAATCTGATCCCTCTTTACTTGTGCATAACAAAGATAAATCAAGTATTTATCTTCTTGCTTACGTTGATGATATCCTTTTCACCGATAATGATAAGGAAGTCATCAATGATATTATTGCCAAGGTCCATCACGAATTCTCCATGAAAGATCTCCATACTGCGACCGAGTTCATAGGCATTAAAATTCAAAGACACTTGAACAAAATATTCCTCTCACAGCAGAATTACGCCTCACAAATTCTACACCAGGCGGACCTAGCAAACTGTAACCCGTTGGCTAACTCGTCATGTACAAAGATGCCGGACGTCCTGCCCACGGACGCTGAGCTTCAGGACACCAATCTTTATTGAAGGATCACGGACTCTCTGCAATATCTCACTATAACTCACTCGGACATTGCGTTCAGTGTGAACCAACTATCACAACATATGCATGACCCTCAACCGAAGCACATATACATGCTCAAACGTCTACTATGATATATCAAAGGTACGATTGACTTTGGCATTCCAATTACAAAAAACTAATCTCTGCTTACATCTTACTCAGATGCTGACTGGGCAAGTGATCCAATTTCACGCAAGTCTACCACCGGATTCTGCTCGTTTATCGGCAGAATCCGAGTACCGAGCTCTCGCGGCACTCACGGCCGACATTATTTGGCTTTGAAGGCTTCTTCAAGAATTCCACATACCGCGAGACTCTCCAACCAAAATCTTTTGTGACAACACATCAGCAATTGCATTAGCAAACAATCCCGTGTTTCACGCGCGTACAAACCACATAGAGATTGACCACAGATTCATACGAGATCACATCCACAGAAACACCATATGCATTCTACCAATAAGCACGGTGGACCAAATTGATGATATTCTCACAAAATCTTTATCCACAACGCGGTTTCACACTCTATGCAACAAATTGAAGGTCACTCAAGAACCATCAGTTTGCAGGGGAGTATTAGAAGTAACAAACTCAAATTAACTGTACGGTACTCTTGCATTTCTTTATGACATGTAAGCAAAGGATTGACTGTTGTTTTCTTGTATCCGTACTACCTCAGGTCTATTTAATAAACCAAGTACTATACTCTGAATTACAGATTGAATAATGAAATCCACTTAGTTTTACCCTTGAGTTCTCGGCTGTCTTCTTCTTCTCGAGTCTTTACTTTCTACATTACGTAGAATAGTCTTTCTAAATCATTCATCAAAAGGGACATCTCTTACAGACAAGGTAAGCTAGATCACCTATTTGTTGAAGGGAATATTGAATTAGGTTCTTTTACAGCTTCAAGGGGAGGAGAACAACGATTGCAAATACTATAGCTTCTATAATACACTCTTTGTCTTTTCCAACTAATGTACATTTTGTCACAAACCAGCATTATATAAAGGCCATTTCTAAACTCTGCAAGAAGTAAAAATAAGAGTTTCAGATATAAAGTAATAGAAACACGTACGCGTCCCACCTGCCTATACCTTTTTCCTCTCCTGATGTTTCTCTTGAGCTGGCGGGGCATGCAATGGAGACTCTGATGCAAACTTTACAATTTAGTTGCACATAAACATGTTTAATGAGATTGGCTACAAAGAAATTTGCCTTCTTTATCTAAAAATCCTCTAATTTACACTGAATAGCAGCGGCTCTTGGCTAAGCTTATTTCTGCACTTTGATGTGACATTATTCCCCTCAGTGGTATCTACTCAATTGGCCTGAAATGATCCTTATTCCCACAACAAATCAACATAGAAAAACTTGCCTTTTTATAAGGTGAAGTCTTAGTTTGGGAGGAAGATGATAAGGATAATGAGATGGCAGAAGAATGAATCACTGAACCATGGCGAGGAAAGAACCTGCATTCGACGTGGGGGGAGCCGGAGTCGGCGCCTTTCCAGCTGCATTTCCACCACCATGAGAGCCGCCGGCAGCTCCCACGCTTTGTCTCTGGAACTGTATCTCATATCTCATCTTACTGTCGTCCTCTTCATCATCGTCATCATAGTCATCATCATCAACATCATCATCATCGTCCTCATGATTCTGTTGTTCCATCAGCTCCTTAACGATATCTTCTGGCTTCATTGCAAAAGAAAAAGGTTGAATTTTTCAATCATACCGTGCCAGTGAGTACTGCAGGAAGAGACTAATATATTACCTTCTTCAATGCAGCATCGCTCCCGCTGTTCGGACCTCCTCCAAAGAAAACCTGAGAAAGGCCATTGGCGTTGCTCCTAGGCATTTGGAAGCCACTCCCTTCATGATTTCCGCCATTCCCAATGTTGGTTCTAACGGTAACTGGATTTTTGTGGTCGCCAATGTAACTCTCTTGCTCTGCTGGTGCAGAGATTAATGGCGCTGGATTAGTCGTCGGAGCACTCTCTTGTTGCTGCTTTCTACGATAGAGCGCGTCGAGCTCGTGGAAGTAAGGGCAAGTTTTGGCGTCCTCGGGCCGTTTCTTGTTCCCCTCTTTCACCTTCTTGAAATACTTGTTAATATTCTCCCACTTCTCCTTGCACCTTTTGGCGCTCCTGTTGTATCCCAGCCGTTTCATCCCAAGAGATATCTCCTCCCACAATGGCCCTTTCGGCCCAGCCTCCAGGTACCTCATGTCTAGTTCACTCCTCAGCTTGATTAGTGCAAGAACCTCCGCTTTCGGCCACCGTGCTGATGGTGATGGCTTCGACAGAGAAACCACGTCGGGGCAAGCATCTGCTACAACCTCCAGTGCCACCTCTGCCGCTGAAGCGGTCGGTTCAGACGATACTGAGGGCTGATGGATTACAATCTCATTGCCTTGTTGGCTTCTCTGGCTCTCAGGCAGATCTTCCTGCGGCGGCGGCGATGGTTCATGAGCTGCTGGAGCAGAGACGGTGGCAACTTCCAGCAATGGATTCGGCGGATTAGTTACTCCGCCGGTGAACTTCTGCAGAAAGGAGATGACGGCGGCATCACGATTCGCCGTCATGGTGCGCTCCTGCGCCATTAGCTCGTACTCACGATTAAGCCGAGCCATCTCCTGTCGCTTCCACGCCTCCTCCCTAAACATCCGGTCCTGCTCTCGCTTCTCGATCGTTTCCAAGAAGCGCTGCTGCATTGCTTCTTGCTGCTCCATCAGCTGCTTCATTAGTCCCTCGAAGAAAGCCATCGTCTTTCCCCTCCCACACGGCCACCCTTCCCTCTTCCTCTTCCTGCTGCCGTCGCCGGCGCCTCCATCGTCCGTGTCTTCATCGGAGTCCGAGGATGAAGAAGAGGACGTGTTAGAAGAAAAGCTGATGCCCGCGGCGGCGGCTATTGGTGGCATGTCGGGCCCCAGAGCAGAGAGCTGGGGAGGTGGTGGTTGGATTCTATCAGCTGGTGGAGCTGCCATTGAAGAGCCACTAGGAACAGATGCATCGGCAGTTTTGGACGCGGAAGAGAACAAAGAGACGGTGGCGGGGGTAGCGGTGGCACTGTGGAGAGCTTCAAGTTGGCTGAAGAAGCGGTAGCTCTTGCCATCCTGGCGTCCGGCGCGGCCTTCTTTTGTGCGCTTGTAGTATTTGTGGACGTTCTCGAACTTCTCCTTGCACTTCTTTGCGCTTCTTTTGTAGCCAAGTTCAGCGAGCTTCCTGCATGCCCGCCATGATAAATATAGCTTATGTAAGGAACAGTAAAACTGGTAATATGGTAAGGCGAAAGGAGAAGGATAAAGGAGAAAAGGACAAAAAATAAAATAAAAAATTGTATAATGGTACTGTGATGTAAATTGTGTTAAGATGTTGGACAAAATACTCAAAATTATTAGATAAATAGTCATAATTAGAAAACTTTTTTTCAAAAATATCAAAAATGACAAATATAAGTTAATTTTATCTTAATAAGAAATTTGAATGGATCCTAACTTCAAATTTTATTTAATATCAATTTTGACTCTTTAGTATTATTATCTACATAATTTACATCATAATATTCACATATAATCATTTGGAGAAAAGTAAAATAATTTTCAAGGTATTTTTTACTAATTTTTATGATAATTTAGAATGTTTAAGAGGTAATTTCCTTTGGATGTTAATTATTCTTCAAGAAATTGAAAAGAGTTTTATATAAAACGAAACAAAATCTAATATAAATTATATCCAAACCTATTAAAATTATTTTGAAATTAATAATAATTTATATGTTAATAATTTTAGAATAATTTTAATAATTTTGAAGTTTTTCTGCTTTGATATTCTGACATTATTTTTTCATATAAAATCTGTAAAATAATTTAATTAATATATTAAACTTTTTCCTTAAATTTTGATCATTATTTTGCTTGAAAAAATCCGTAGCAATTCTTAAGCACTCAAATTATGTCATAATTATTACGTTAATCACAAGTACAGAATATATAAATAAATAGATCAATATGAGTACTTAAAGCGAGAGAAACGGGAGAGCGGTGAAGGCAGATGCAGAAATCGGTAATGCATTAGATCTAGCAAAATGGGGGGAATTTTTCATGAACAAGAATCGTACAAGGAATTCCAGTCATAAATTTATGAACTTTTTTCAAAATTATGCATAAATATCTCATTTTTGTTATTTTAAATGATTCAAAAATTAAATTTTAGCTATAGAGTGTAAGGAAGGGAAATAAAAGTTTAATCTATCAACAAATCTGTGTTATTGCAAGAGATTTGAATGCAAATCTTAATGTAAAAAAGCTCGCTAAGATTAATTTAGGAGATATTGCGAACACAAAATTTTTACAATAATTTTTCCTTGGAATCAACATAAGAGATCAATTTCGAAAATTGGGACTGCTCGGGATTAATGCAGCAGCTTTTAGATGCAGCACTCGTCAGGATTTGGATCAAATTGGGAAATGTTGGAAAACGAAGAGGGAGATGGAGAGAGGGATCAGTGTGTGGTTAGATTTTTGGTTTGGAAAAAAGAAGAGATCCGAGGAGAGCGAGGAAAGGGCTTGAATTTTTGTTGTGGATACACAGTTCATGTTTCTTCTTCTTCCTCTCCTTCGTCTTCATTCTCAAGAAATTGAAGAGAGATAATTGAAAGAAAGAAAAACTAGAATCGTCAGAATCCGTGGTACGATGCCGATCCCAAGTCGTTTCGTGAGAGTTGAAGGAAGGAAAAACCGTTAAGCATCTCGTTCTCTCTCAATTATTTCACTAAAGTTGCCATTAATTCCTCTTCGAAAACAAGGAAAGAGACCGCATGGAACAGACGGAGGTTGGAGGGTCAAAAGAGGGAAAGAGCTCAATTATGATTTGAGAACAATTTCAATGGCGGTTATTCGGTTACCTCGAGACGTCCTCCCATAGAGGGCCCTTCAGCGTGGCGTCGCGGAAAGCGGCATCCATCTCCGACCGGACCTTAAGCAGCGCCAGCGTCTCCTGCCTCGGCCACCGGCTTCCAACGCTTCCGCCTCTCTCTCCCTCGTCGCCGGCAGCAAGCGCCTCTTCGTCGGCGAAACTCCTCGTCACCGCTCCGCCGCTGCCGCCGCTTCCCAATTCATCAAAAAACGTGGCCGGCGAGCGAGACACACCAGCCTGAGACTGCGGCACCGACCGGCTGCTGATTGGTGAGACGGCCTCCGCTGCCGGATGATGCTGTATATGGTCGGCCCCGCCATGAATTCCAATCATCCGCGGCTGCCGAGCCCCTGCCGAAGCTGAAGAAAACTGCGGGACCATTTCCAGCGGAGGCACCCCATACTGGGACCCTCCTTGCTGCTGCATGCGTCCGGAATCTTCGCCCTCTCCGATGCCCGTCGCAGTTACAGCCTTACAGCCACAGCAGTTCTTTCCTCCAGTACTCAGCGGAAGAAGAGAGAAATAACAAAGGTGAAACTCATGGAAACTTGTACAACTAGAAAGAGAGAGAGAGAGAGAGAGAGAGGTGGGGAAGTGGAAGCTTTACAGTAAGCGCGCGCTGGCCAAAAACAACTTTAACAATTCAGAGTACGATTTACAACTCCAAAGAAGGAGAATATTAAAGCCGCTGCGGAGCTGTAGTGCAGGAAAGAGGAACTAGCGGTTCTGAAACAAAGGGTTTCAGAAGAAAGAAAGAAAGTAATGAGTGATGAATATAGAGAGAGAGAGAGAGAGAGGAGGAGACATTAGCCGGACCACAGATGATGATAATGACGATGATGATGTGAGAGAATTAAGAGATAGAGAGAGAAAGCGGATGAGAGAGAAGAAATTAATTCATTGAAAATTTAAGATTTCTAACCTTGCCGCCTAATTATACTTAATAACATTAAGATAAAATGATCGCTGTAATCTATCTTCACGAACGGTCACGATTGCACGGCGGAGACTCACTTAAAAGCTATCTCCTTAACTTTTCTTTTGGATCGAACGGTCAGGATTGCAACTGGGGAAAGAAAGAAGAGGACGCAGACAGGAGCCCGTTGTAACAGCTGTAATTTGGGTCCCACAGATGAGGCCGAGAGGGTTGGAACGTGCCGGGCGATTATCGCGGATCCCACGGACACCCCTACCGCTATTCCCCTTATCCCATACATCGTAAGGTTTTTAAACTCTCCTCCAACAGTCTCACAGCCGTTCGATTTACTGTTAACCAAATCAGATCGTCATCGTATACCTTCACCGAAGCATAACCGGTGCATGTGATACTCATTCTCCAACCAATCACCGCGCCCACAAGCAAAATATTCATGCTAATCGCGCCTTTGATCTCCGCCCGCCAACACTTCACGTCACGCCACGTGGCACTTGGTTGGAGATGATTGGAGGTGGCGTGCGGTGCGAGCGATAAAGAAAGCCCGCAAAAGATTACCGTGGTGGCATGGCATCTTCACGGACCTGTAAGAAAACCCGCCACCCAATCAACAGCTATTATTACGAAAGGAGCGTAAATAAGCGGAGCTCGATCGAGCAAGCCAAAATCTGCTTTTGGCTTGGTTCTTCGACTAGGGCGACTAAAGTTCAAAGATTCCTGTTTATGCTTGAATCGCTCATTATAGAATTGAATAATTAGGGCGGTCTGCAAAGCTGAAATTGTGCAAGTATTTTATGTTTAGTATCAGTGATTCATTAATGGACCAATCACTATTAGATTAACGATAATCTGTTAAGCACTTTACAACTCTGTTAACTTTCAGGAACCCTAATTTTGATTAGGATGAGAGAATGGGAAAGGGACTTTAGTCCCACATCCCAAATGAAATTTGTAGGCGTTGCGGCGCTCAGTCAATGTTTATAATTTTTCCTTCTCGCATATTTTCGTTGAATTTTAATGTAATAAATGGTACATAATTTACTATTATCAAATTATCCCCAGCATAAACGGTTATTTGTCCCTCAGAAATTGTGAAATCAATTATTGATTAATTTAATAGTTAAAATAAAAAAATTGATGATTAAAAATTACTAAAATATAAGATAATGCGTTAAAATTTAAAAGTAACGTGGAATGAACAAAATTGTAACTCTAATTTAGAAGGTTATAATATTAACCAAATTGGTCACCATTGATATTGCTTGTTTTGAACTTATCAACTATGAGTGTAGGTGTAAAATAGACTTCTAATTTCATAAATGAATAATATATTGCTTAGAAATTAGTTATGTAATGCTCAAAGATCAAATTTGAAAGAAACGTATATTTACAATTTTAAAAAATATATTAGAACTTCTATAAATCATTAATATAAACCATAACCAATAAAAGCAACTAAAATCATATACATTCAAATATTTTTACTATTCATTCACCAAAATATCATTTATACTTGCTAGAAGCGTCTCGCTGTAAGGAATCGTTACCATATTTCAATTTTTAATAATATAATATTTTTGATATTTTTTCGATCAAATTTGTAATTTTATTACTAAAATATGAGGATAATTTTTTATTTATAAAACTTTCACAAATAGCTTTTTATATGAGATAGATGTCGTAAATATAAACATTTTAAAAGGAATATATCAAACTTTTATTTATTAAATTGGAAGTTATGATTTTTGTCAATTAAATACATAGTAGATAATTTTGCAACTTATATTTTCCTATATTCTATGAATTACTATATTTCATACCTAATAATGATAAAAATATTGCATTGGTATATAAATGATGCTAAAGGTTGATTATTAGCATGAAAGATGAAGACCGATACCAATTAGTTGACCATTCGGGTTACTTAAGACTGTTACTCAACTAAGCGACAATTGAGGTTGATCGAAACTAATTAATTGGCAGTTGGGTCTGATTAAGATTGATACCTAACTGGACAATAATGGGGATGAGTAAAAATGTTGCATTCATGACTATTTACATGATCGTACATTTGAATTGATTGATAATATAACTGTAATCATACTAACATCAATAATGATACAATATAGCATAACATATTAATATAATTTATTGGAGGATAGCACGCTTTATCATATGTCTTATAGTTTGATAGATCTCTTTTGACTTCACTAATCATAATATTGATTTTATTATTAATTTTTGAGATTTTTATTGCTTATATTAAGTGATGATTGATATTGTTTAGAACAGAAACATACAAATTGATTTGTTTGTCTTGTATTGAAAGTAGTGATAGAGTTTTGATTACATGATGGACTTTTTATTTCATTATATGAACTTCAATGATTTTAGGTCAGGATCGTGAGTAGTGATATTGATAATGATCTTCAGGTTCATCTTTAGAGTTTATTCTATATACTTTTTATTTTTTTATAGTTAAGAGTCCGTGATAGAATATATAATGATTATAGTGATCTTCTGGTTAGTGTAAATGATATTTTGATGAATGTCTCCTCCTCCTTTATAGGATTCATGTAGGATTCATGGCATTCAATTACTTGTTCTAATTGAACCTTTAGTTGGTATGAATAAATTGGATTCTGTTAAGAGAAAGCTTGGTTTTGATTTTTGCTTTGGTAATTGTTCTGAAAAAATTTGGCTTTTTTGGAATCATTCTATTTCTTTGGATGTTGTTTTAGATTTTCTTCAAGTCATTCATACTAGTATTACTTTTAATACTGTTTCTTCTTTTGCATCTTTTATTTATGCTGCTTGTAATAGAATTGGGAGGATGCAACTATGGGAGCAGCTCATTGATTTTTCCTCTAATATTAATGCTCTGTGGTTAGTGGGCGGTGACTTTAATTGCATTACTAATGTTTCTGAACGTGTGGGTGGTAGGCACCCTGATTTAAAAGCCATGGAGGATTTTAATGATTTGATTAGGAATTGTAATTTGCATGAGATTGGCTTCTCTAGTAACAGTTTCACTTGGAACAGATGTACTTTGTGGCAAAGGCTTGATCGCATTCTTTTCAGTAATTTTTGGGTTACGGCTCTTCCTAATACTCATATTACTCACCTTACTCGTACTTTATCTGATCACTCTCATTTACTTTTAAACATTAACAACATGAATGGTTCTAGCTTTAAACCATTTAGATTTTAAAACATGTGGCTTTTGGATGATACTTTTATGCATACGGTGAAAGAGAATTGGGATGCTCCTCTTTTCCCTTCTGATGAAGTGCAGGGTATGAACAGGCTTTGGTTCAAACTCAAGAGGCTTAAGCAAAAATTGTCTTGGTGGAATAAATGCATTTTTAAAAATCTGTTTACTAATATCCTGAAAGCTGAAGAGCTTGTTAAAAAAGCTGATATGGCTTATTTGCTTAATTCTTCTAATGATAATTTAACTTATCTTAATGAAGCTAAGATCCAGCTGACTAATCTGCAGGAGAAAGAGGAAGTTTATTGGCGCCAAAAGGCTTCTTCTAAATTTCTTGTTGAAGGTGATAGTATAATACTGCTTATTTTCATAAGATTGCCAATCATAATTTCATTAGGAGAAAAATCCATAAAATTATTTCTCTTGAGGGGATTATTATTGAGGAGCACAACTTAATTGTGAATTCGGGCATTGACTACTTTTCTAAAATTTTTAATTCTCATTTCTCTCCTAATCTTAACGTTGATTTTGGTTGCATTCCGACGTCCCTTGTTATTGATGCCGAGAATGACATGCTTTCTAAAATTCCTATTGAAGAGGAAATTTGGAATAATTTAAAGGCTATGAACACGGAGTCTGTTGCGAGGCCTGACGATTTTACTAATAATTTTTTTCATAAATGTTGGGGTATTATTAAGGAGGATTTGATTAATGCGGTGGTGGATTGTTTTGAAGGTTCTCCTATGCCTAAGTATTTTAATGCTACTTATATTGCTCTGATTCATAAGGCTCAGAATATTAACCAACTATTGGAATGATTTCCATCCCATTAGTTTATGTTCTGTTTTTTACAAACTTATTGCTAAAATTATTATGAGTAGATTGGCTTTAATTTTACCTAAGATTATTTCCCCTGAACAATATGGTTTTGTGAAAGGTAGATTCATATTCGATAATGTTTTGCTTGCTCAAGAGCTGATTAATGACTTAAATAAGAAGGTGGTTGGCGGTAACATTATCTTTAAATTGGACAACACTAAAGCTTATGACAACATTAATTAGAATTTTCTCTATCATATGTTTCATCGTTTTGGTTTTAACCTACAATTTTCTAATCTTATAAGGAATTGTATTGAGAATTGTTACTTTTCGGTTATCATTAATGGTAATTCTCATGGTTTTTTTCGATCTTCTCATGGGCTTCGACAGGGAGATCCCTTATCTCTTGCCCTTTTTATTATAGCTGTGGAATTTTTATCTCGTGGCTTGAATCACCTTTTCAGGATGAATCCTAACTTAAATTTTAGAACTGGTAGTGCTTTGCCCTTATCGCACTTGAGTTTTACGGATGATTTCATCATTTTTACTAATGGTTCCATTAAATCGCTGGAAATCTTTTTTAAGTTTTTTGAGGTCTTTTAGCAAGCTAGTGGTTTAATTTTTAATGTCTAAAAGTTGTTTTATTCCTTCCAAAACTATTACTACGTTGCGTGCTCAAAGGATTGAAAGAAAAATTGGTTTAAGGAAACGGTCTCTGCCTCTCAAGTATTTAGGTACTCCTCTTTATAAGGGAAAGAAGAGAGCTCATTTATTTGATGATATTTTTTATAATATTCAAAACAAGCT